AGGTAAATCATATACATTTAATCCACTACATTTATCTAATATCTTTAGTTACTTTGCAGATTTGGATTAATTATGTGAAATATAATCAACCGTTAAATCAGATTTTAGTTACACCTGCAGTAAATTCACAAGCTACCCTGCAGTATACAAAGTCATTCAAACTAGTTGCACCTTTACCAGCTGTGATAACACTTTAATGCATCAATAATTATAATCAAAATATATAATATATATTTGTCTTGAATGGACCAATCTGCATAATGAGTACTTTAAGTATATTTTGATGCCAATAATGTTGTACTTTTACTTGTTGCGGAGTATTCCTACCAGTGATGGAAACTTCTGAAGCAATGGATACGAACCTCAGAGAGACACGAGGAGAGTAGGAGCTTTGATGGCAAACACTGATGGTTTATTTGAAGCTTCGGCCGGAGAATTCACAAGACATGTGCTGCCGCCACGAGGTGTCACAGTGGTTGCCAAACCAATTCTTAAGATCTCTTCTGCAGTTCGAGGTTTATAGTTCAGATTGTAATAATCAACATTCCTCATCAGCGAGACTAATGGACCCAGAATCTAACTAGAGCTGTCGTCCATAGAAAAGAATGTGCGCCAGGGAACCTACGTTCCAGAAAAGAAGGGCCTCTAGATGTCACTGAACATAAACTATCTCATGGCAACTTGTGGTCGGTTATAAACTGGCAACAAAAATGCGCCCAAGCTGCCCCTCCTTAAAGGTCACCTATTATTCAAAATCCACTTTTTCATGTCTTTTATACATAAACATGTTTCCCCTCTTTGTAAAGAGATTCTGAAAGCTTGAGGAAAGAAGATTCTGTCTCTTTTTGTCCTGATCAATCTATATAAAACTTTTGAAACAGGGCTGAAACAGAGGGGTTTATGGCATGCTACAATTATCTGTTTGTTATTTCGAGCCAAACACTTCAGAGACATGTTTTGTATATATCTGGGACCTATAATATATTGATGAGCAACAGTATAATAGGGGAACTTTAAGAGAGATAGATAGCAGCAATACCCAAGGCCGTAGACCTATGCCATGGGAAAATAGATAGTGAAAGGAGAAAACGATGAACTGTGTCTAATTATTCCCATACCCTCTACTTCTACTTAAGTATAAGATCTGAGTACTTCTCCCACCTCTGCATGTAGTAAGTCGTACATGTAGCAGTTTACACATCACTTAATCCTTCAGTAAGAGCCTGGGGAATTTGTTTTGTGATTTCTTTCTACCAAATGTATTCAGACCAAGTCAAAGAAAGAGTGACAGTATTGAAGTGAATAATGTGCTTGGTTGAAGATAAGGTTTGAAAAATAGTTCCTTATATTCCCTTGAGGCTCAGAGCAGCATTTATCAGATGTATCCATATGCAGTAGTTTATTTTTGAGCTGAAAAATGAAAGCTATTAAACACTGGGAGATGTCTTTGAAATTTTTTATAATCTATATGCTGGATACGTTTAGGTTTAGCTCATGAATGTGTCATTAGAGAGCAGCAGTGGTAGAAAACATACAATGCTTCGTTCCTAATTATTGAACTACTTATGAACAAACAAAGCAGGTAGAATTAAAACCCTTGTGTCTGAATAGTAACAACGAAATGTCTCAAATAAAACAATAAGAAATGCTCTGTTATGGGGTTTTATGGTACGCTATATGTAAATAATAAAAATAAATGTTATAGTTGTTCAATTTAAATTAAAGGTCCCCTATAGAGGATCCGCTAGTTAACTGGCTCGAGACAGCGGATCTAGAATGCAACGAAGCAATTCATGCCGTTTTATTGCTTTTAACGTGAAACAGGTGAAGATGAAGTTGTTGCGGAATTGTTGTGAGTACCCTTTTCAAGGCGACAATTCAGTGAAAAGACGGACATTATCATGCCGCGGAGGGGGGGGGCGGCGGCGGCGGGGGGTGTGTGTGTCTACAGAAGGTCCAGTTGTGATAGACACGGTCCGCCACTGGTAGCATCCCATAATCCCCTCTGTTTCAGCCCTGTTCCAAAAGTGCTGATTCTCTGTCTGTCTACAAATTAACTGCCCTCCCCACGGCCCTCTGAGAGATGTTTGGTTAAAAAAACAACACAACGGTGCTCTCAAGGAGATTCAGGTGATAAGGTGGGCGGTTGTTAAACTTGGTTGGTGATTGGCTAATGGTTACACAACCCAAAAAAACATTGAGGCCGAAATCTGATCAGCTCATCCTTTATACAGATGGATCAGGACGAATCTTTTTTCCTCAAAATGTCAGAATCTCTTTACACCGAGGAGACATATGTATGTATTAAAGACATGACATTTGGATTTTGCATAATAGGTGAACTTTAAAGGTTAGTCAAATCAAGCTCTATTACCATTTTATTCTTTCTGCAGCCCAACTTCCCAAATTCAAACACACACATAAGAATATTTTTTGTGAGAGAGACGCAGCGTATGAATGCAGTGATTTCAGCTTCCTGCTGCGCTGTATTCAACAGGTTGCCACTATGATGGGCCACTTGATTAAAACCACCCTGAGTAGCGCCTCTCCAAAGCATTCAAATGATCACAAAACTTTTCTTGATTGAGGCACACTTGAGAACCGACACTCGATACAACTTAAAATGACAAGTTGATTAGGAAAGCAGCAGGACGGCTCAAAGGCTGCCACATCCCAATCAACGCTTAATGATGCACATTTCTGTTCCATTATAATTGTAATATCATGATGCTGCTGTTTGTGAATGCGGCATGGTGCCTTTTACAGATGTGAGTGGACACAGTGTTTCCAGAACAAAAGCTTATGAAAGCCTCACGTCCCGCTCTGAGAGAAGCAGCCGTTTGCTTTAATAACAAGGCTCCTTTAGCGTAGAGGATGTGAAGAAGGAGACACAGGTGCTCAGAGCACCTGTGTCTCCTTCTTCCATCACAGAGGAGAGCACCGTGATCTCCTCTGTGATTAGTTGAAATAGAGGAAGATGACAGCCGACATGTATTAAGAAAAATACCGTTATACTTTCTAGCAAGAGGAATTAATCATAGGATGTCATCATGAATGTTTCCTCTTTGTGCTGGAAATGTATGAGGAGGTGTCTGGGTTTTACTGAAGGGCATTATCAGACTTTCAATAGCCCAGCCCAGCTGGCCCAGCCCCATGTGGAAGAGCTCTTAACAGAATCCTTTTCAAAATATCACATTTTCAATTCTACTCCTGAAGGTGTGGAATCGAAAGGATATAATAGGAGCCATTTTGTCTGTAGTTGTTCCTGAAAGAGTTCTAAACAAATGGGAATTGCTTAAAGTTCAGGCACATCAGGGGACAAAAAAGTAATTATTGAGAAATAGTAGCATAAATATTATGTTGTACTCAGCTTGGTGTTTGTTTTCTTATTTCTGAACTAGGAAAAGTATTACCTTCTTGGTTGAAATCTTTGCTCTAACAGGTTATACTGATTATAGGGCTAGGCAATATACCGAACTAATGATGATGCCTCACATTCTTACCCTAATTCATTATCAGTGTCATGTTTTAAAAGACTGCTTTACAGTAAATGGATGTCATTTTCTGAACTTACCGGACTGTTGTCGATGCACTATTACTTTCCTTTGCTCACTTTTTCATTATATGCTCATTACGGATGATACAAAAGCCAACAATAGTCAACACTATTATAATATTGTTGCATTTAATTTTCTCGCAAGTAGCCTAGCCATAAGTCATCATAGCAGAAACATGTAATCTTTACGAAACAGAATGGTGTGCAGCTGTGTCAACGAGTGATGTTTTCCACTGCTTTTCCCTCTTATTACCCAGAACCATTTTCGATGTTTTCCACAAAGAAAGAAAAAAAGAGTGAAGAATAGCAGCATTGGTTAAAAATAGCCATCTCTCCTGCTTATAAAACACTCTTACAGCCTCTGCACAACCCTAACAGATGAGCAGTGAACCTACTAATGTATTTCTGACAAACATCGATGCTACACAAACAACTGAAGAGGTTCACTCGGATCAATTAACTGCTTATGAAAGATACTTCAACATTTCAAAGCTTTCGGCCACGAGGGCTTCTTATACTTCATCGTGTGGCCTTTGGACAGATGAAAGCTGGATGAGACTAACAAGGACGTGGCGCATTTCACTCCAGATAAAACACAAAAGCATGTAGCTTTGGTGCATGCACTCGTACCATCATTTGCATCCAGCAGTGTTTCTGATTTACATTCATATGTCTGTGTGGAATGTGTTACGTGCATACATAATAGACAGAGGGCAGCTCGGGGGCAACTGCTGGCCAGATGTGCCAACCCCCTGGAAGGCAATTCCTCCTGAATCGTTTAACATGGTGTGTGTAGAATCAGTTACAGCCTAACTATGAAATGTGTTGAGGTGCCAGGACATTAGACCCTGTCTTCCCTGTAGTGTCGGTATACAATGAGCCAGACTATGTTTAATGCTTTATGGCACCATCAGATTGTAGCATTATTTTGACTCAGTTTCTATGAAATCTATTGATTTGTCAGATATCAAATTCATTCCGATTATAATTATCCTATAAAGTGCTTTTGTGATTGGTTTTCTGTAAATGAGTTACTGTACAACAATATTATATGTATGTAAAATTGTATCAACTTCCAACTATTATCTACAAACCTTTCATACGCGAGATTAGCAAGGGACTAAAACTAAATCAGAATTCACCATCTTTAACAGGGGACACTAGTTGTCTTCAACAAGTTCAAAATGACTTCCTGAAACATGGGTTCATTCAAAAGGAGCATGGTCAGCTTATATTCACTTAAACCAAAACATATTTTTTATTGAAACGTGTTCAAGGTCCTCTATGTTGACTGAAATACCAACCCTTACTGGGATATTGTGGGTTTGGTTTTAGGGTGGACTTTCCATTTTGCCAACATGTTGTTACTTCGTACAAGAGCTGAAATTGAGAAGTTAATTATCAAATTGCAATAAAATGTCTAATGCATTGGATAAAAACAGGCTTAAAATTGTATCTTTATTTTCAGGCAGGAAAAGCAATAAAATGCAGTATACAGTGTGACGTGTTACCAAATGTCCGAATAGTGACAACCAGTTTTGTGTGCCCAGTAATGAACAGTAGTCTCACATATTGAACTCAATGAGTAGAACTGTCCTGTCTGAACCAAGGTCAGCAATATTATTGCTTTAAAGAAAAAAATATTAAAAAGACTTGTTTGGGGAAGTCATTAAAAGCTTGCACTCTTATTTCCTTTACGTACATGCAACAGTCACATTCACAAACATCACATATACCATCTTACAGTCATACTAATGACTTTTTATGAAAGGAATTCAAAGGGAACATCAAAAACTAGATTAAAAAAAATAGTCTCTTATTTGTCATGATCTACAGAACATCCATGAACATTTTTCGCACACCAGAAAGATAAGTGTTCTCGTAAAGGGGTCCGAACCTCTCGCACTCTCTCGGCTCAGCACAGGAAGTCACAGATAGATCAACCGCTCCCCAGATTTAGTCATTGTGAAAAAAGCCCCACCTCCAAACGGATCAGCAGCTCTCTGTCTGCGCTGGACATCAGCTCTCCTGCTTGTCTTTGACCAGAAGCACTGTGTGCTGCCCTCCGCTGGACGCCATCAGTACTGCACGGTTCTCCAGCTGCTTGCCGGTCATCTTCACAGGGCTCCACTCGTCTTCCTCCCCTCCGGTGCCGAGCTGCAGGTTGGTGCCCATGCCCCAGGCGTACACAGATCCTGAGTAACACAGCAGAAAGTCATCTTAAAATCACGAAATATATTGCTCTCTATGTTAGACTAAAAAGATGATCACTCATCAATCCTTGGCTGCATTTGCGTTGTTCCTCACCTTCTCTGGTGACGGCGATGCTGACCGACGCCCCGCAGGACAGCCCGCAGACCGGCTCCATCCCCGTCACCGGCGTGGGCTCGCTCTTCTCCTCGGCCCCCTCGCCCAGACCCAGACGGCCGTACTCTGCTCTGCCCAGGCAGTATACCTGTCCTTTAGGATGAAGACCAAAAAGGATTCATTCATATTTTGTGTCAAAATTCTTGGATAAAAACATTTAAAAACACTTTTTTTGTTTTAATTGCCCTTTCCATTCCAGCCATGTTGTTGTTTTATTGCCTTTTGTTTAGTTGAGGTTTTGTGGTAAATTACAACAACAACAAATACAGATGTAGTTTAACAGTTATTGCGGCTTACCTTCAGCGTCGAGGCAGAGCGAGTGATGCTGTCCTCCAGAGAAGTCCACCCAGGAAGTGGTAGAGTTTTTGAAGCAGGTCAGTTTTACTGGCTCAAAACACATCTTGGTGCTTTTAGTGCCTGAATAAAAAAACAGGGGTTAAAACACAAAATCAATTCACAATGTCTGATACAATGACCTTCGAGTAGAAGGGGAGCGACGGCCTCAAAGCTAAATGTAAAGCAGTGACAGATGATACGGCAGCTGAAGGCACTGATGTGCACTACTCACCCAGCTGATGATAGTTGGAGAGACCAAATCCATAAACATAGCCGTCTTTTGACACAGCAAAGGTGAGGTACGCGCCGCAGAAGGTATCGACAAAGTGAACTTTGCCTTTCACTTTAACTATCTGTGGTACCAGCAACCGGCCTGAAATCACAGGACACAGTCAGTCCCAACGCCTCAGCCATATTTCACACAAGACATGGAAACTTCTTCTATTGTTAATGCCATCACAAATCAAAGCTTAATGATTATGTCAAATCTTGATAACTTTTGTTACATCATGCTTTGTCTTTAGAAAGGCTTGTTGAACTTACCGAGGCCTTTCCTGCCTCCTCTGTCTGAAAAGCGCTCGGGCACTCTGCCCAGCTGCCCCTGCTCTGCAGTGCCCGATGAGTACAGATTCCCCTCCAGTGTAACCAGGACAAGGTGGTCGTTTCCTGTCAAAAAGGAGTTGCAAAGATTAAAACAGGAACCTTGTATGCAGACATTTTACCTATAGCAAATTAAAACATACAAGATTAAAGACCTATCTTCCTTACCTGACGCAATTTTCACAACAGCTTCTGTCATGGGGACTTTGATTGGAAGAGTGCATGTTTTCATGGGCTCCAGAAGACCTATTACACCGCTGTTATCCTGGACAAAAAAAGGGTTCAGTATTTTTTAAATAGTTAAACCCCCAGAGATACACACAGGTTGTGTAAGCATGAAGTATTGCATGGCTGCCAATTCTTCTGAATGGAAATAAGTTGATCAGATGTAAAAGGGACAAATACAAATCATTCAAAAATATGATTTAGCAATAATAATAAGATCATTATAATATTCTTCTTTTAAAATCAATGTCACAGAGTGTTTCACACAGTTAATATCAGCACTGCCAAACACCAAGTGGGATTGCAGAAGGTTGGCAGAGGCAATAGAGATGTAATTGCCAGTGTGCCACTGAGTATTAATAATGGAAAACACACATGTAACCTACAGGAGCAGTGATAATAAGTACAGAGGATAAGAAACAATGAGGAATAGCATGACCAATGATCATCAGACAGATGGACATGGGAAATCATTTAATAAAAAATAAAAAAAGTGTAAGGTGAGAACATCTGTCATGAGGCCTCAGGTCTGAGAAGAGAATCAAATGCAGGGTAAATAGGCTTTCAGGTTGAGAAGAAACAGAGGAGAGGATGTGAGGTAGACAATTGTAGTTTGCTCTTTATGCGGGATAATTTATGGAACTGCAGATGGAGAGCTTAATCGTGAAAATCTTAATTTGTTATTATAGCAGCGGAGAGGCATGTAAGTGACCAAGATGAGGGGTGTTTGATGATCTAGAACAGGGGTATTCAACTACAATTCCACGAGGTCCAGTTAGAGAAAATGTCCCCATTCAAAGGTCCGGAACATCCAAATGTCTAGCTTGCTTTATGAATTAGTGTGATATATATTGAAGTAGCCTGTAGCTTCATCAACGTCTGCATGTAATCAACAACTGACTGCCAAATAAAGAAAGTACAATTCAAAAACAACAATATGTATTGTCAATTAACATTGAACTCTACAGATATACAGTAAATACTGTGGATATGTGTAATGTTCCTCTCGGGCTGCATTTCAAAATAAAATAGA